AGTCCATCGCAGGGTTACCGCCAGCATTAAGTTCGCCAGCAACCATTTATACACCTGGCCCCAGTTGTTCGAAAGTTAGACAGCGCTATCCACCGGATAAATCGCTATCCAGCCGATAAGTGTTAGCCAAACAAACCACGGCTATCCACTGGATAGTGATTTATCCGGTGGATAACGTACCTTTTGAACAACCCGAGTCTGGGTGGAAAGAGGCACTGTGAGAGTAACGTTTGTTAACTTCAAGCTTGACATGTTCAGTTTCTTGAACATTACCAGTCTTGGTTCTGACCTCGTTGACGACAACATCAACTGTGGGTTTACATGTTTAGAAATTCCGTCGTGTTTTTCATATAACCTGGCGGCATTCCCTGATATCAACGGAAAACTATTGTGTGAACTGCTCCCATCTGACAAGTTCAACAACTCGGACAATTTTACCGACAGTCCGTTTTACCATCACTTCAGTACTCTGGTAAGCGAAGAATTGATGCTGTTTTTATAATCATAACATGCATTCAGAGAAACGTGAATTGTTTCTAAAAGATAGTACTGCTGCGGCACATTCTGTTGATAGTGACATATTTAACGCAGTAATTCATCTATCTGCGCGTTCCAAGATTTACATTAACCTTTATTTCTTAAAGTAGCGTCAAATCGTGGTGTGTAACTTCAAATCTGTCCTTGTATACATCAACCTCATGCATGATGACGCATCGATGGCGAGGAGTGACAAGGGATCAAGACAAAAAAGCACATAATCTAAAATATGTTTGGACAATAACGATACACATCAACCTCCCCTTTACCAGATCGCAAAAATTGAAAGATGTGGAAATTGTTGGAGCAGAAGTCTAACTTACAAATTCTGTACTGATACGCATTAAATATCTCTAGAATGTTGACAGACTGTGTTGAGGACGCGTCCATCGAGATGTGTGAAAATGCCCAAGCTTTAGCTTAAATTCATGTTTGGATGAAAAGGAAGAGATCGCAGCATATATGAAATTAGCGCGTTCTACGGGTTTTCCTTTGTTTTAATTATGCTACAGGCTTTCAGTAGTAACGACGATTTCTCTTCATTTAAGAATTCGACCGAGGAGGCGAGACTGCTAAGAAATGATATACTAAGTTTGAGATTAAGATGTCACAATTAACCGTCCAAACTTACAAACTTTCACATACTGTATTAAGAACAAAAACAAGAGTTGTGAAAGTCAAGCACGATCTCTTTCACATTGCTTTTACAAGTAAATCAGACCAAACTTCCTCACTGGAATCCACCCCGGAGGGGTACTCCCAGAAAAATTGGGTGGGGTTGTGCGGCCCGCTTACCAAAACCCTTACCCAATTTATGACCAAAATCTGCGATATTCCCTACCCTATTTATGACCTGGCCAAAAATTCGAAACCCTATTTATGACCTGACCCTTAAATCAAAACCCTGTTTCAGACCTGCGTTATAATTAGTTCCCTAGTTCAGACCGTAAACATAATTTGTAATTTGTGTAATTTGTGATTTTCTTTTCGATAATTATGAAAAAGTGGCTTCTTCTTTAAACCATACCCATATCAAGGCTAGAGTGCAAAAACCATGCCCTATTTATGACCAAACTGGTCAAAATCAGCTAAAATCGATACCCTATTTATGACCAAAACGGCTAAGCAAAACATAACCACTAACCTTTCTCACTCGAATACACGCGAAAAGGACGACGGCACGACGTCCTCGTGCTGTTCGTGGTGTAATGCACTCTTGTAAAAATTAGCGTAATGCACTCTGGTGAAATGCAATGCATTCTGGTAAAAAGTGATGAATTCGAGAATCGTAGCCCCCTGTATGTATTCTTCTTAAATCCTGATTATGTTGCTGCTTGCTCGCTACGCAGCATGTAATATATTACTAAACCAGCGTAAATCGAATCTTAAAACAATCGATTAGGGCTTACAAGTCAACGTCATGTTTTTTTTGTCCCTGGAAACAGAGCCCTTGCTCCGGTAATCCTTGTATGAACAGTGCAACTTGTGTGGCCAAGTACGAAGATGATGATTATCAGTGCGCATGCGCTCCAGGATATTTTGGAAAACACTGCGAAATGGGTATTTAAAGACGTAACATATTGACGGTTATATTTAATATTACTTCATGTCATATCATGCAACCTCACTTAATCACAGCGCACCCTCGGCATGTTTCATCGTCATTCTGTAGATCGAAAACTTGCTTATTTCGTTTGCTGTTATAAATCAAACTCTTTAAACTAGTAACACCAAAATATCCCGACAACTGTTTACAGTTATTACAAGGCAAGACTCCTTAATTTTCAAGGTCACCTTCTCTAACTATTATGCCTGTGACAGATACGGTGACCAGTCTTCTAAAGCAGGTTGGCTGAGTTCAATCATGACCAAAAGTCCTTAATATAGGCTGTTAATACATTATTCAGATGTGGCTAAAATCGGCATTCTGCGATAGACAAGAATTTGACTAAGAAGGAGTGAAAGAACTTACTTGTAAACTGTCTGGCAGCAGGGATAGCGCGGTGGTGAGAGCCTTCACACCCACCAATGTGACCTTCGCTCAATTTCCAGCTCAATGTCATACGAGGCTTGAGTTTGTTGCTGGTTCTCGCTTGCCCCGTGTGTTTTTCTCCGGGTACTCCAGTTTTCCTCTCTCCTGAAAAATCAGCATTTTCAAATTCCAATTCGACCAGGATATAGGGCCCTCTCGACTGTATGGTAACATTTAATTTTATTTATGGAGAAGACTCTCCACGACTCTTTCTTGATAATCTCGTTGCAGTCGTGTTATATTTGTCTTGTGACCAGGTGTTGGAGTTACCTGTGAGGAGATTAAGAACCGGGGGAAATCCGAGGGAGATGGCATGTACTGGTTGGACCCGGATGGCGGAAGCCATTCAAATGCATTTCTGGCCTACTGTGACATGACTTCGTACAATGGAGGATGGACCATGTGTTACACTACCGATGAATATGTCAAACCCAAGACTGAAGTCACATACAGCGCTCAACTTCCTTATGGAAGTGACGGCTACAGGACCAACTGTAACAACATCCCTGTAAGTTGATATATTTCTTTCAGTAGCTATATGTTATCTACCATCGGTACATTTTACCGTGGCAAGTTTTAAGCGACAAAACCGAACGACATGAAATGGTTATGCACTACTCTTCTCCTTGCTATAATGTACCAAACACGAGGGAGAATGTTCCATCACATTTCTAATCACGGGGAAGCGAGTTAAAATATTTTTGATAAACATCGAGGTGTTTGGAAATGTGATGAGACTCTTTTCCCAGTTTTTGACATATTTTCTCAATTTAAATCAAACCTGAGGAGATATCGAAGAAAAAAAAAATTGCAAAAACTCAACTCTAAGCCAATTAAAGTTTGAGAAACTGCACTTCTTTGTCTTGAAATTCTTAGCCTGACAAAGAGATGCGAAACCACTTCTGAAACATATTTCTATGCAGACTCACTCAGTGGATGAACAACGAAGTGGTCAAAATTTGATTAGAAACCTATATATGTTTCCTTTGTGCCGCCAACTGGAACTTATTTCGCTGCTTAGAAAACAAAATTAAGAAACTGTGTGTTATACAAGCTCAAAATCTTTCTCTCAGAGGTATAAATAAGTTTAAACAACAATAGCGTAAGAAATAATTTGTTTTTACTGCTATTGTTTCAGTTTACAGGAATTATTTTTGTTGATCACCAAACTGGAAACAAGATCTACTTTAAACGACAAGTCAACCAGTCCATAACGGCCACTGATAACTATGGGAAAAATGCTGGCACCTATGGATTGTGGGACGGTGTGGGAGTAGATAACGCTTACGATTACCAGCTGTTGATCTGCCATACCTCGTTCTACGCTGGATTCTTCGTTTCAGGTCACACGCAGAATTGTTACAAGGACTGCAATTCCTGGTGCGTTGATGGAAACTCGCCTTACTTCCGTACGGCGTCAACTAGTGCAGGTTACCTGGGCGTGGTTTTCAACACGAATGGTCATCGCCCCCTTAGCAACAGACTCATTAGCGTTGGTCTGCGATAAGTCCCGTTCACACTCCAGACAAGGCTGATGAACTTTGTTTGGCGTTACCAAAAATCAAGACAAATCTTGTAACCACCAAATTTTCATTTTGGTAAACGCTTCAGTCCTTAAAGGGTATATCACAGATATTTTTTAATTTGCTTAATTAAATCTACATGAGGTAATACTATGGAAATCGAAAAAGAAAATTGGGTATCGCTTTACTCTTCACTAATCTTATTGGTCTTAAACCGTGAAAGTTCACTTCCAGTCTGGTAAGAAATCGACGGGGTGCGGATCTGGGACTAGTCAGCCCGTGAAGTCAAACCAAGATCAAAATTGGAATTACGCGTGATTGTCAAATAGGCCATTTCCGAGTTGCATTTTGCCTCTGTGTCAAAACGAGTCTTCGATCGTGCGAAACCATTCATATGAAAATGTGTTCCACCTATACATGTTCAGGATTTTCATGCAAATCAAACTCATTCTCGGGCTTCCATAGGAAAGCCCGGGTTTAAAAACGGGAATGTTTTTTTTTTTTTTTTTAAACGCGTGTCACAGATTAGTTATAAATCGTAATGATTCGATTTAGCGCCATCCTTCCAATATAAAGCTGTCTATAGCGAAAGCATATAATAAACCCGTTAAAGGCATTACTAACACAGAAAAGACTGATTATAAGAAAGAATTCTGAAGTCTGCATAGCTTTTCCTCTCAACGTAATATTGAACATTATGACTATCAGAGTCCATATTGTTAACAGTTGTGACTTAAAGTTACTGTTGTTTTTCATTTAACAAATTGACGTCACTTTTTCGTGCGTCTGTCTTGTTATTGATCATGAATTTCGTCATAACATTGTC